ATTTTGCAGTAAAATAAAAAAAATAGTAATCAATCATCTAGGGTATCTTTATTTTTATGTTATTCATATCATTTAATGTTGCTTCTTCCCTCTAAATTTATTTATCATTAGTAAATAATATTTCCAAATTTCAGGAAATTTTCTCTGGCATAATCTTGAAATTAATTTTAGCAGTATGATGACATCACGAAATTTAATGCACATATTTTTTCCTTATGTATGCTGCGAGATAAATATAAAATACCTCAATGTAGTAAAAAAATATCATCAAATAGATTTTTTTCTTTCGTTTAGCTGTAGAATATCTGCAAAAAAAGCCTTATTTTATTCCAGATTGGGCAGATTCTAATCTCAATTTTCAGTGGAGAAAACAACTCCTATTATAATTATATTTGTGTTTTCAAGTGTTAAGGTGCCTTTTAAGAATACACCTCACACAAATTAAATTTACCTAAAATCTAACCTAACTTTTAGCATTGCGTTGTGATTTATAAGAACCGGATTAGCCTCGTGTTGAACTGGGGATGATCATGAGTAATAATTAGATAAAACGTACAGTTGTTATCCAATGTATATATCTTAAATTTTATTAAGTTTTTTTAAGCGGAAAAGTAAACAAAATTATCAAACAAAGTGTACCAAGAATAATTAAGAATAAATGTCCTCTGGGATTTATTGAATAATTAAGTGAATTTGCGACACAGTACAAGTAATACCATAATTAATTTACCTCTTAGCACAGCCAACGTACATTACGCGGATAGACTGGAATTTTCTCAAAACATACCTGGAAAACCCAGGGAATTTCATTCTCCTGTTTGAGTGGCAACCCTGTATAATCCTGACCTCAAAGCTACAAACTTTTTGCGCATGCGTCGCGTTGACGCATGCGCGTAAGACCTTTACGGCTGCGAATATGCATGTGCGCATGCGCATTAAATGTATAACGGACGGTATAAGCTAAGCTAAAATTATCTAATTCAGTTAATGTTGCAGATTGCGTTGTTCCTTAATCTTCGAATTGGATCCGGCTTATTATTTTTTGCAGACTGTTAGAGCAATTTTATAAAAGTAAGCTTCAACTTTCGATTATGTCAAATAGAATTCTCGATATATATTTACTAATATGTAAAAGATCTACAAAGCGAAAGTATGTTTCGAAATCCATTAAACGAAAAGTGGAATTGCTGCAAAAAATGGATAAAGGCATATCCTTTGTTTTTCTAACCATTCCGAAATCTGTTTATTAATATCACGCTGCTCTGCGGGGGATGGGAACGTCGCGGCGCGCAATGAACTGGAAGTTGATCTGTCAGCACTATCCATATCTTCAGGGCAGATGTTTTTATTTTATTCGGCTTGTAGTTCATTACTAAATGTAGTACCATTTCATCTCGATGTACTCTGTCTTTTACATGATTTAAATCAAATTCATTATAAATATCACGAATACATATCAAATAGTTTTCTGGTTGCAATTTTCTAATTTCGACTATGCATAATGTATACTTTAGGCATGCACGCGTTGAAAGAAATGTTTAATAAAGTAAACAAATAAATATTAAGCTTTTTTTTGTGTAAATTTTGATACCCTTTAGATCATAATTGTTCTTTATTTCATAAATTACGGTTTCATATTTTTAATTTTATAATTTCTGCATGTCATCTTACCAGATTTAAACTGATGATCTATAATCCGGAAAAATCGATAATCCGGAATCGCCGAAGTCCCGATGAGTCCGGATTAATGACTTTTGACTGTATTATGCTTCTATTCAGTCATGTTTAGTCTTTTTCATATAAATTATAATAATAAAAAAGTATTATATGAAATTAACCTTTTGTCTAGATTAAAATATCAATCTTAGATAGTTATTTACTATTACACTTCCTTTCTTGCATTAGGGTTGCTGCAATTATTTTTGGCAGCATTGGCATCAACAATAGTTTGGCGATTTTTTTTATGGCCCTCAAAACTGAATAGTACCGAAATCTGAAGTAATTACTTTTTATAACAAGACAAAAGGAGCAGTTGATATAGTCGACGAAATGGGTGGCACTTATTCTTTGGCCAGAATATTAAACCAATGGCCTATGGGCATATTTTCTTCACTATTAAATATTGCCAGCTTAAATTCAAGGATCTTGCTTTTATCTACTAAAACTCCACCAGAGAAGTTCAGGAATAGGAGGCACTTCTGATTTGGCCTTTGCACATTTAGATCCTCATTTGAAATCACAACAGAAACAGAAGGAATACAACGAAGATTCTCTTGAACAAAGAAAAGAAAATCATGTTACCGGAGATGTTACATGTGCTCAAGGGGAAAAGAAAATCAAAATCTGTATGTGTGACATGTAAAAAAAATATATGTCAAGAACACTTCATGTATAAACTACAAAATATCTAATTCTTCTTGAACCTAATTGATTTGAAAATTAATTATATAACTCATTGTCCATGTAATAATTTTGCATGATTTGGATTATAATTGTATTCAAAAATAAAAAAAAATTCTCATAGAAATAAATGATTCCTAGTCACCTGAAGAAAACGTTAAGTACTTTTGATTTATTTGTTATTAATTTTAAAATTAATGTTATTTTTAAGCTATTTTATATAATGTTGTAATTAATACAGAATGCATTATTTTACTGAATTGTAATAATATGTTTCATTTGTATGTCATTTAATCGCGACGTGCGTTCTCATGTTGCATAATACAGCGTTAATACAGGTTAACTATATACCGCTAAATGTCATTATTAACCTATTTATTTTACTTCTATATGCTAAATATCTTATAACTAGACTGTACACCGCTAAAATCATGGCGCAACTTAACTGTACACCGCTAAAATCATGGCCGATTAGCCATTGCTGAGCTTAGCGAATAAATATGCACAGGTGCCAACGGATCCACTGCAGAAGAAAACCCGATTATTCCCTCCTCCCATATTTCTAAATCTTGGAATATATTTATATATATTTAGATTATCTTTTAAGAACACAGCAGGAAGCAGATGGTTGTATTTCTCTGCCCTGAAATTATGAAATTCTCCCTTGGTTGGGAATCCCTGGGCCTAGCGATTGGTTAGAAGTAGTAGTAGAAGACTTTTCAGAAACCAGATATAATTTTGAAGGGTAGTGAAAAATGTTAGGGAAGTATTTACTTTAGACTAAGAATAATTTTAGTAGATATCAATAAATGCACTTTAAACGCAACAAAGACAGTTTATAAACTGGCTTAAAAATTTGATGGAAAAGGATTCCTTTAAATAAAAAATGAGCTCCTAGCTAGAATAAAAGTGAATAGCAACAGCATGCAGCATATCCAGGCAGCCAAATTTCTGCTATTATTAGTAAAAAACATTAAAAAATATGGTGAAGACATGAAGCATAATGAAATATTAAAAAATATACCCAATATCCATAATTTTTGTACATTTAAAAAGTATATCTTTTACCTTTTCCAAAATGCTCAGTAGTAAACTATATGGTATTTTATGATCATCTGACACTCTATAAAAAGTCAGCAACACACGGTCAAAAAGCTTTTGTTGGGTTATCATTATGGCCTATAATATTCTGTGTATTAATAATAATTAAAAGTAAACTTTTCAAAAAAAATTACAGGAAACAAAAATAAAAGTCTATGGGGTTGATATTTAAGTTTTGAGAGCCAATGAATAATAAGCAGCTAAATATTGATTGAATATAAATCTTCGTGGTCTCGAACACGTGTGATATGTGAATTAGTGTGTTAGCTGCTGTTGCATGTATATTCGAAAATATGCTAAAAACATAGCATTTTTAGTCTATTTTAATACTGAAAGTTGCTGATAATCAGAAAATACCCTTTTTGTATTTTTACTCTTATTTTTGACACTTACTATTTACTCTGTTTCTGACAAAATTTATTTTCATCTGCTTCAGTCATTACTCATGGGGTAGTCTATATTTTAGGGTACCCCTTGGATTATCACCAAGTTGTTTCATTTATGGGAACCCGAGTATTTTACATTGAATGCTGTGGAAACCCTATTATTATGTAATTGGTTGTAATGCATGATTGTGGGGATTTTGACTGTTGGGAAAATATTTCTCAGGGCTTATTTATGCATTGGATGTTCGTTAGGAAGTACGTTGCTTATTTTGTAAGGATGAAGGAGGAATAGAAATGACCTACAGACGTCTCAGCTTTGATATGCGAAAAATGTGCATTAAAAATTGAATTTGTCGTACATTTTGCACATACACGCGTGCTGGAAGGTTGAGATAGAGAGAAATCGTTCAGATAGAAAACTATGTTTGTAAAAGCAAAAGTTTATAATATATGTAACTTGATTTAATCTGCATCAGAATTATTAAAACCTGCACAAATTGGATAAAATATTCTCAACAATGGCATTGTGATTTCATTAACCAAACATTTTACATCAAATTCATTAATGGCTACTTTACCAAAAACTGAGGCTTAGCTGGCATTTTATAAGAATGATTAGCAGCCAAAGCAGAGGGGAAAAAATAAAAATCACCGACATTCGTTAAAAAAAATCATTTACAATGATGATTTGGGGAAAAATTTCATAAAAAAAATACCAGTTTTAAAAAACAAAAAGACGGAGAAATAAGGCTACATGGCTATAAAAAACTTTACTTTAAAAAGACAGATGGCAATTTTAAAATTCCACCTCCTGTGTGCTTTGATGCAACACGCTGAAATGAAGTTCAGCAGGTTGTGAGTCAACACCTACTGTGAGTTCAATGCAGCACGCTGAACTCACAGATTTTAAACGTATAAATATTTAAATTTTTAAGACATTTACTTTATTAGTTGATTTTAAAAAATACCTATTACTAAATTGATATGAATTGATTCCTATCTATATCTATCTATTCATTCAGATTGATAGTTTTATTAAAATTTTCATGTTTATTTCTTATGCAACATATATAAATACTATTTGTGGAAAATTACATATAAATTTGATATTAGGAAAATAACATATGTATGTGGAAATTTCCTGACCAAACACAGATGAATGATGGCAGTGATGATTGTCTAAAAGATGATGAACCTAATGTGATAAGCAAAGAAAAATTTACAGGTTCTGTTACAGACTTAGAAGTAAGCTATTTTTATTCTAAAATGTAATTATTATTAAAATCAGTTAATACGTGAGAGAAATTTCTTTAATTTTATTCATGTTTTTTCTGAAAATGTTTTACTATACTGTAAACTAATCTTGTACATCTTCATGTTTTCTGTATTCCATAATTTTCTTTCAGCTAAAAATTAGAATTCTTTTTTGAAATCTTTCAATTTCATTAAAAATATTTGCAGAATTCACTAATGGAGGTCAAAGAGATTAAGATCTGAAAAAGAATTTTCTGCTGCGTTATTAAAGCATTAAAAATTGTGTTCTGAATATTATATCTGCTGAGTTTTGTAAATTAATCTAGTATATTAATATAATATGAAAGATATTGGTAATCATGCTATATGTAATCTACCGCTTTTATATTGTTATGTATAAAGCACAATTTACGAAGCAGTTCTTAGCAAAATAGCTTATGTAATTAATTAAAAATGTCTTTTTAATTTTTTCATGATAAGAGTTTTCCCATGTAATTGTCTCGGAATATTCAGAATTCTCAAAATATGCATCACTTTTCTCTATAAAAATTAATTTTACACATTTTTTTCCTCAATTTTTTTTTCAAAATATTTCTGGCATTTTGCTGTTACCGAATTGGTAGAAGTAATTTTTCTGTTAGGATTTTGGGCATTTCAGTTTGGAAAGTTTAGAAAGATTTGAAAGCAAGATTTATATACTCACGATTCACGATGTGTGAATAAATTCTAAAATTCTGCCTCACCAGCTTTGTAACCGGACCTTACCATGTATATTTGAAAATTCTTCTGAATATTAGAGATAAGAAGTAGTTTATGAGGTGAGGAGAAGTATGATTATACTCATATGCCTAACAAAATAAAATTAGCAGCTTTCTCTATACATTCTAAATGCATTTAGTGATTTTAGAATAACAGAAATCTTTAATTAAATCCAAAAATTCTAAAATGAAAAGGAAACGTGGAAGAAAGAAACTGAATACATAACGAGAAAGAAAATTATTCTTCAAAGAAGTATACAGATATTATTACGTAAATTACCTAGTCGTTTACAATTTCAGCCTTTACTGTAATTTCCCTTTTATATTTTCTCACCAGATTGCAAATCACTTAGACAATTTGTAAACTGAGGTTTTTGGATTGTATGACAAGAGTGTACTTCTGACCTCCACTTCCTCCTTGCATTATTGTTATTACGATAGAGTTACTGAGTCAGCTTAAAATGAAATGAAATTGTATAGTCTTTGATCACTAGTCCATATTTTTAGTTTGAATTTGATACTTTTTGCTTAATAACATCACTACGAGCTGTAATTAATTTTGTTGGCATAAGAACATACCTTTATGTTCTAAGTTCTTTTTAAATAAGAAGCTTATTCAAACCTTTGTCTGACTTCGTAGTTACTTTCAGACATAGCGATAATTTGCTTTACATCTGTCGGGGAGGTTGGACTATTTAACTTTTACCAGATCAAGTAAACCCTCATAGGTACATTTTGGAGAGGTTGACAGGTTAGGAGATAAACCACGCAGAAACTAGCGAGAACATTGTTTTGCGTATTGAGACAAATTTCTGTTAGATAAGATGCTTAAAGAGAGGGAAATCGATATAAATTAGCCAAAATGTCTGGGAAGGCTTCAAATTAAAAAGACGCGTGAATATTTTGTTCAGTGTTGTTGCTACAAAACATAAATGTTTTGTAGCTTTTAATGTATAATTATCCTAATATCGGTTCTGTTTTTATGCACATGTAATCAATTTGATCTAAAGTAAAGAATGCAAGAAGGAATTTATATACATTTTTATAGCTTGTAGGTTACATATTCATTTTTAAAAAGGAGGCATTAAAAAAGACTTATTATTTATTGAGTCTTAAATTCAAGCAGATTAATATATATATACGTAACCAAGTAAAATATCTACACTTTTGTCATAACTTTTCTTACATTGCACGTTTTGTCTTCTGTTCTCACATATTTTATTGTTATACAGTTTTTGTAATGCTGTGAAAGTTTGGTCTTAATTCCTGCATTTTTCTTCCTTCTATTACAGATATATCATGGCTGCTCCATTAGAAGTTTGCAAAGAGGAACAATGAGCAGTGATCCGATTCTTCCGGTCAAAGGGTCAGACATTCATTGCAGACTATCATCACAATATGGGTGAAGTGCATATCACTTAAAACTGTTTTGACAAAGCGTTGACAGATCCTAACATTAGTTAGTTTGTTTTCTGCAGTAAGCTTTCTTGGTACCCATCATGCACAGACTTTATGAAAACCGAGCTTGTCATGGATAATTTGATGAATAGAGCCATGACTGATGTTCAAAGGAGATGCTACCTCATCGATAGTGATTCGCCTATTCATGTCTGACCCTTTGACATCATACGACCAGAGGAATCGGATCACTGCTCATTGTTCCTCTTTGGTGCGAACTTCTAATGGAGCAACCATGATATATCTGCAACAGAAGGAAGAAAATGGAGGAATTAAGATCAAACTTTCGCAGCATTACCACAACAGTATAATAATAAAGTATGCGAGGACAGAAGACAAAGAGCGCAATGTAAGAAACGTTATGGCAAAAGAGTAGATAATTTTTTACTTGTATTAAAAATTTATATTGTAACAGTTTTTGCTGGATAATTTGCATGTTGCTTAGTAATGAAAAAAAAAAAAAAAAATACACAAGTAGAATGAAAAAGAGTGTTTGAATTGTGGTTAATTAGGATAATAGGGGACCGGAAAGTAATGTCGCTTTCTTACATTAAATTCACATGAATAAATTTTTAATCTATAATGTAATCACCCTCGTTATCAACAGCCTTTTGCCATCTAGTGGGCAAATTTTCAATCCCTGGACCAATATAAATCATTTGGTTTTTGAGTAAAATACCTCAAGATGGCATTTTGGACATCATTCAAATTTTCAATTTTTTGGCACTAAGAAAATGTTGTAGGGATTGGAATAAATGGAAATCCAAGTGTACGATATCGGGCGAGTATGGTGGGTGATGCAGCACCTCCCATCCCAATTCATTAATTTTTTCCAGTATCCGTCTTGCATTATCGTGTTGCAGAATGATGCCTTTTCTATTGACTATCGCCATATATTTTTCGATTAAAGATTGGTTCACTCGATCCAATTGTTCACAATAAAGATCTGCATTAACAGTTTGTCCAGGTTTCAGCAATTCAAAATGAACAATTCCGCAGATACTCCATCAAACAACACACAGAAGCGCCTTTTGGAGAGGTAAACCCTTTGTAACCCCTATTAAAACTGCCTTTTGGATTATCATATAGGACCCATTCTTCGTCTCCAGTAATCAAATAATAAAAAAAAAACGGTTCTGTATGGTTCTGTTGAAGCAAAACATTGCATGTGATGGATCGGTTGGCTTTGTTCTCTTCGGACAGATTATAGGGGACTCAAACACCTGCTTCGCTTATTTTTCAATTCTTCTTTAATTGTTCTTGGATGATCGACCAAGGTTGCTTAAGAGTGTTTGATGCAGATTTGCTTCCACTTCTGCCCTTAGCATGTTGTTGTCGACATGCGTAGAAACGACATTACTTTCCGGTCCCCCTATTATTATATGTTAATAGATTCGCTCTATTAAAATGATTGATTTTAAAATAAGCAATGAAACAATATTCGTCAAAGGACTAAGGTTTTACTTTTAATTGTTAGGTAAGTCTTTGCATCACTAACATTATACAAATAACATATAATAACCATTAATTCAGGAATGGTGCACTGAAAAAGATTAATTACAAGTATGTTGCTATTTAGGTCCTAAATAGAAAATTATCAAATTTGGAAGACTTTAAGGATTGTCATAAGTTTTGATTTCAAACATCTAATATATTACAGTCAAAAGTCGTTAATCCGGACTCGTCGGGACTTCGGCGATTCCGGATTATCGATTTTTCCGGATTATAGATCATCAGTTTAAATCTGGTAAGATGGCATGCAGAAATTACAAAATTAAAAATATGAAACCGTAATTTATGAAATAAAGAACAATTATGATCTAAAGGGTATCAAAATTTACAAAAAGAAAAAGCTTAATATTTATTTGTTTACTTTATTAAACATTTCCTTCAATGTAAGTTGCTTTGTTTCATGTGATAATACTTTCTCTTTAATTCTATTAAACTGACGTAATTTCTTGTTTAGTTACAAAGTTCCGCTGTTCAAGTCCTATAATTGCTGTGTTGAGAATACCGATTAATTTGTCAATCGAAATTTTTCGTTTTCAATAAACCTCTGGGTCACTTTCTTCACTATCGGAAGCGAATTATAATGACGAGGAACTTGATTTAAATCATATCAAAGACAGAATGAAATACTACACTTAGTATGGAATTATAAATCAAATAAAATAAAAAACATCTGCCCTGAAGATAAGGATTAGTGCTGACAGATAACTTCCAATCCACCGCGTGAAATTGATAAACAGATTTCGGATCTCAAAACATTACTTTCGCTTTGTAGATACAATTACATATTAGTAAATATATATCGGGAAATTCTATTTATTCATAATCTTTCTAATCTATCATAATCTAATAATGACGTTTCTGCCCCCCCTCTGACGCAGAGCAGCGTGAAATTGATAAACAGATTTCGGATTTCAAAACATAACTTCGCTTTGTAGTAAATATATATCGGAAATTCTATTTGACATAATCGAAAGTTCAAGCTTACTTTTATAAAATTGCTCTAAACAGTCTGCAAAAAATAATAAGCCGGATCCAATTCGAAGATTAAGGAACAATGCAATCGGCAACATTAACTGAATTAGATAACTTTAGCTTATCGTGTAACTCCGTTACAATTTAAACGCGCATGCGCACAAACATATTCGCAGCCGTAAGGGTCTTACGCTCTCTCGTAAACGCCTGTGCGCATGCGTGAACGCGATGCATGCGCAGAAAGTTTGTAGCTTTGAGGTCCGGATTATAGATCATTCCGGATTATGGGTGTCTGAATTAACGACTTTTGACTGTAGAAATCTTCAAATTATATGAACCATAACTTTTCAAAGATACTAGAGAATGCTACGTGAAATAGAATATTTGTATAGCTTATATAAATATAATCAGTTTTACCATGATAAATTGTACACTGTAAGATTTTACAAACATTTAATTAAGTATACGGTGCTGCATTTGTACTGTATTAAATCAAAAAAGATGCACATTACTGTGGAGTGTATGCTTTTCTACATATGAAAGTAAAATATTTTGACATTTTAGCCTATTCTGCAAAAAGAAACAAGTAAATAATAAACAAATTTGATTTCTGTATTTTTTAAGGGATGGTATAGGTAAAATATCATTCTTTTTTCAACAAAATAATAAAAGTAATGATTAAAATAGTGCCCTGATTCCTACTAGCAAAGTGGATATGGGGTGGAAAAAAACGTGTAAAGCTTCACAGCAACCATTTTCACTTAATATATTAGTTATCTCAGTTTGGAAAAAAAAAAAAAAAAAAAGTGTGTGGTAACTTGGTTATAATTACAATAGGAACATGGAAAAGTGATAATGTTGGGTAAATTTGAGTTATTGTATTTCAATTTTTTATAGTTGAGTGTCATTTACACACACACGCACAATCGTGCTTCCCGATTCAGATAGCAGCAGGATCAAGAGGGAATATATATACATATATGCAAATTTTATCTATGTCTGTAAAAAATATTTATATTTGTATAATTATCTCAAATTTTTCAATGAAGCGGAAAAACTGGATATGTAATTAAATAATTATTTATTAATATAATGTTTCATTAGCAGTTTTTCTGGTATTTGAATGTATGTTTTATTTATTTATTTTTAGGTACTTTCAGAGGATTTAATTTTTGCCTCTTCTTCTGTAGGATCTCTGTGTATATTTAAATATGCAGAAGAGGTAAAATTATGCATTTGATTGTTAAAATTCTCAGATGCAAAAAATTATAAGATTTTTTCTACTATAGTATGTTTATCTTTTTCAGAAAGTTCAGTGTACACACACTTGGGAAAACGTCCATCATTTTAAGCGAGGCACTGCTGCTGCAACAGGAATAGCAGTCAAAGGACAAGATATTTCTAGTGTAGGTGAAGATGGAAGGCTATGTATATTTAACTTTATTGTAAACAAAAAAGTACGAGAAATAGGTAAGAATGTCTAGTTATTTATTTTTTATTAGATTTTAAAGTTGTCAATCATATACAGTGTATCGTCCTTTATTAACTTACAATCCTCTTAACATGAGCTTTCAAGGTACAAACTCAAAATATCCCATTTTGAAGCCCATCATAATATTGAGACCTGATTGTACTTTAACAGATCTTTATTACCCCTTCTATAATATACAGTGTAATTTAGCTGTTTCTTTCTAATATATGATGAATGCCACTTGTAATTTATGTTTTAATTCTTAAACAATAAATTACAGAAAAATCTCTTTATTTATTTTTTCCCATTACTATGTGTGTTTCCTTTCTTTTTAATTATATAGTTGCAGTTTAAAAACCTTGATTAATTAAGTTCTCATAAAATAAAATAAAAATCAGTTTTGAGATAAAAACCATGGGCAACAATGACTTATGTTTGTAAGTCAAGGTAGTACCACTGTAATTTTATTATTGTTAAAAAGATATTTGAACTTTCAACTGTTAAAAAGATATCTGAACTTTTAATGTATTTATTTATGGCATTGGGGGAAAAGTCAGTTGGAAAAATTTATTTAAGCTATTATGTTGAAAAATTATTTTTCTTCGTGTACTTACAATTTTTCTTTTGTAATACTTGATAAATACCTGAAACTTTTTTATGCTGATAACAGTTTTCTGTGCTGTGAAAAAAAATTAGAAGTGTTTATTTTGGCTGCAATTTAACTATTAAGTTGTTATTTATTTTTGCAGAAAGCTCAAATCTCTGCTCGTTAACATGTGTAAGTTATTTAAGACATCAAGAAGTGATAGCAGGGAATTCTCTTGGATATTTAAGGTTGTGGGATTTACGCAGTTCCTCAGATAGTCCTGGATGCTTATTAATGATGTAAGTTTTAGACATAAAGTATGAAGAATATTAAATTATTAAATAATATCATAAATTTTGCTCGTTGTGTGATTATTCAGGCTTATATAAGCAGCTTAATTTTGAATTTTTTATACTGATTGTAGCATCCCCCAACTTTACACAGCTATGATTTCGCAAAACTCCTGAAGTGCAAGTGCAATAATAAAACAATGCAATATGTAATACAGTACAAAGTCCGTAATTCGGACGTCCAATCCGGACCTCAAAGCCACAAACTTTATGCATGCACGTAGAGAATGCACATACATTACACATGCACGTAATGTATGCTTTACACTTGCATGCATTGAAAGAAATGTTTAATAAAGTAAACAAATAAATATTAAGCTTTTTTTTTTTTTTTGTAAAATTTGATACCCTTTAGATCATAATTGCTCTTTACTTCATAAATTACAATTTCATATTTTTAATTGTATAATTTCTGCATGCCATCTTACCAGATTTAAATTGATGATCTATAATCTGGAAAATCCCCTAATTCGGAATCGCCAAAGTCCTGATGAGTCCGGATTACAGGCTGTGTACTGTAATAACAATAAAACTCGGATATTGTTTGCTAAAAGTATTGTTAATACTGTACTGTAATAACAATAATACTCGGATATTGTTTGCTTAGAGTATTGTTAATAATCATTAAAGTGACTAAGCTTCTTTACATTACTTCATTTTATATCCCTTTATATATATATATATATTTAAAAATCCTTGTTTGTGTGTGTGTGTTCCCCCCTTTTCTTTTCTCCTTTTTCTACTTCAGCAAAATTTTGCACATGTTTATTGGAACTTCTAAGGGGGGAAAAAAAAAAAAAAAACTTAATATAATTCACATGTTAATTATATAGTAATACAACTAAAATACTAACTGCATTGTTATTTCCTTTATGAAGTTTTTATAGTAATATTCATATAAAGCGGATGTTATGAAGAAAAAAACATTTAGATTCTTTTTTATACTTTGTAGCAAGTTTATATTGCAGGCAAAACTTTTTTCTAACAATTCAAGAATAATTATTTTCGAGGCAGGAAACTTACAGAATTAATTTTTAAGTCATAAAATAACCTTTCTAAGTTATAATAGTTAATATTTTCTTAAACTGGTCCATGCTGGGTAGTTTTAATTGAAATAAGTATGAAGAAATATTTCTTATATCAAACTAAACTGTACAAGACTAACAAGTCTGTCTATATTAAATAAGAAATAGTATGTTTATCTTTTTTATACTTAACAAGTCTGTCTGTATTAAATAAGAAAATCTGTTTTTTTCCTCCCCTTTCTTTTTTAACTTTTACTTGGGTTTTTGAATTTCCTTAAACTGTAATAAAAAAATTCTCTTAAAAAAAGTATAAAAACATCTGTGTTATGCATTCATTTGGCAAAACAATCTTAAAAATATGCTTAATACTCCCTTTTTGCAGCACACAGCAGACTTAGACTAATACTTTTGTATATTCCTAGCTGGGACAGGGCATAAAAAGAAACACTTCTCAGAACCCCCATTTGCACGAAACCTATGTAGCTGGGTTACCATCTTCACTTGGTAAACAGGCTTGAAAGCCGAACAGGAATCGGTTATCACTTGGATTGGCAAAAAAGACGTTTGCTTTCAAATTCCATGTTTTATCTTGTATCACTCACACTCTTTTTATTTTAAACTTGATTGTTATTTATGGAAGATAACAGAAAGGTGGTGGAAAACATAAAAGAGTAAGAAAATTAACGACAAAAATCTTTATGGCTGATATTTACCTCCTCACAGCCAGCAGATACTATTCACCAAAATGAAGATCAAGTGAAGTATATAAATACATGGGCACTGAAATGTGTAAATACATGGGCACTGAAATGTGTTTGGAAGGTTTAGTGTATTCCTTTTAATACATATTGGCTATGAAATGTGCTGTCATATGATTAGAATGTGTGTAATAGTTTGCTGCATTTCAGTGTACAATATATTACATAATATAAATATCATGGAAGTAGAACTTTCGTGTGAGCAAGCAGGAAGATACTATATCTTTTAAAATTTTGATGTTGAGAAGATTGTGGTAAACTTCAACAGCAAAACAGGAAACTATAAAACAGAACAAGACAAAAAGTTAAAAATGAAAACATGAAGTACAATATAATCTGCATTTTTTACCTTTTACCAGCATTTTAATTTCAAATTCAGTGTGAGAAACATCATTTATATTAAAAGGTAGCTAAATTTTTCCTCTGATTATAAGCATATTACCTAATACTTAAATATTATCCAGTGAATAACTTGTAATTATACCTGTTAATTAGTTTTATGACTTTACACATTTTGCAAGCAAAAAGTGCAGTTATATTTTTTTCTTTTCCTCACTTAAAAACTTTGAGCACAAAGTAAATAGAACCTCTCCTTATACTAATTTTGGTACATATATATATATATATATATATGAAGCTAGTGCGTCGTTATGAAAGATGGAACGTGCTTCCATCTTTCATAACGACGCACTTCAGCTTTTGCCCTCTACTCTGCTAAGATGTAATTTTGCTGGCTTGCTTTCTATCCCAACAATATCAAAAATGTAAATCTTCTGTGGAAAGGCACGACTAGAGTGCCAAGTGATTGTGGCCACAAATATCAATTGAAAATAAAAATGGAATTAAAATCGCTTCTACTGCCAAGTTTTATTTACGAAGTCAACACATTAGCTTACGACGCAATCAGATTACTTCCTCTTCAATATAGGATAACTACGCATCTACAGTGCTCCGTCATTTCCTTGTGCTTTTAATATTACAATTAAGCCGGCAGGATAGTTTCCTGCAGCCTGAAACCTCCATGGAAAATTTAGTTCAGCTCTTCAAATCATCGTTTTGTGATAAATCCAAGATAATGTGAAAGAAGTGAATCATCAAGTTTGTTTTTTCAGTGTTTAAAAAATAACAGATCATTCTTCTGCTGTCGTGTTTTGCAAGTGCTTCAAAAAATAATCTCGTGTAGTGTTTACAGATTGAAAGTAATCTCCCGATAAATTGAGAAGTTCGAATGCCTAGTGAAAAGGAATATTGAAGTTGCTTCGCCGATCTCTATAATATTTAGAAAAAAAGTGCTTTAAATCATCAGTGAATTACCATTTAAAAATTCAGCATTACAGTGGGTTCAACGACAGAAAATTATTTGCACTTCCGCTTTTTCAACAGCTCAAAAATTATTACATTCGTGTGAATCTAGCTCAGGAACTAAATTATTTAATGATCTGCGGATTCTATAGTTTTCATTTCAACTTTGGTTAACAATTTCTGCAATTTGTTTTGAGAAAATCTGAGATTCTTGTTCATTAATTTTTCTAATTTTTCATAATTATGTGTGAGCAAATTAAATAATTAATTTTAAGCTATTTAAATTATTCACAGGGAAGGATATTAAGATAAGTTTTTATGTTTTTGGAAATTTTGTTGAGAATTTTGAATACGAATTTTATAATTATTCTAAAAATAAAGATGTTAAAAATAAGTGAAATTATTACAGATAAGTAATATGAAATTATGTTAAATGCATGTTAAAATTTATGGGTTATTGTGTGTTAAGTATAGTATGCTGAGGAGGTACTGGTTCCTTTAACAGAGGCCTGTAATTACCTCTGTACAGTTGTTCCTTTTACCCTCTTCATGCAAGATAATGTTGGAGGCTCTCATTTTATGAATGCATGTAAAATTTTTATATTATTATGGAATGTATTAGTGCAGTTCTCAAAGGCCAGTTACCTTAATGCAAGGAACGGAGGCCTTTTCAAGTAACTGCCTAGGCACCCTGGGCCACCAGTGCAGAGAACACACTGGTTAGCTCAAGAGGACAGCCCTATTGATGGATATGTTTGTTTAGAAGTATTGCGAGGCTTCCAGTTTGGTAAAATCAGGAATTGTAAATGAAAGATGATAACGGTGAAACCATAAATTCTGAAAATCTTAATCCTATTATTTATGATGTTAAATTATAATTTATCAGTATGGAAATAAGTATCATAAATATTTATATGCATTACATTTTATTATAACTAATGATTGTGTAAAAGTTTATTTTGTGATATTCTGTAATAACAAAAACCTTCCCTGAAGAATTATGATTATGTGAAAAAGACTTTTGGACTGAAATGTTGAAAAAATTCAATAGGACTCTAAAAATTAAGAATCTATTGTAAAAAAAAATGATATTATAAAATAATACTTTACAGGATCAAAATTTTATTATTTATTTATATTTTTTTTAATTTGCTTGTGCTTTAACTCTTTTTCTTTAAAAAGGCTTCTCTGTCGCTACGCCTTTTTCTTTTGAAGGGGGGAATGGGAATATGTAGATAAAAAATATATGAATCAGAATTATAATATAATTATAAACATTAATTCTTCCTTTCTATTCTAAAATCGTAATAACGTCTCTGCATTGCGTCATTTCTAGATCATTCTATGGCCCGTGCAACTCTGATGACGTAATAATTAAGAACTGAAACTGCCACTGTAAACCAAAACTTTTCTCTTCGCGTGCCTCCATCTTGCATAACTACGCACTTCAGCTTTGCTCTCTCTACTGCTGGCTAAGATGTAATTTGCTGGCTTGCTTTTTTCTATCCCAACAATATCAAAAATGTAAATCTTCTGTGGAAAGGCACGACTAGAGTGCCAAGTGATTGTGGCCACAAATATCAATTGAAAATAAAAATGGAATTAAAATCGCTTCTACTGCCAAGTTTTATTTACGAAGTCAACACATTAGCTTACGACGCAATCAGATTATTTCCTCTTCAATATAGGATAACTATGCATCTACAGTGCTCCGTCATTTCCTTGTGCTTTTAATATTACATATATATATGTGATATTTTCCAGCAGTCGTGAGGAAGTTTGGCATCAAAGTTCAGGCATGGCTTTTGCAGAGTGGTAAGGCGAATCCAAATGACAAGACAATATGGTTTAGCTTTTAATTACATATATTTATTCCATAGCTTTAATTCAGTTTCAGAAGCAGATCACTATTCGTTACTAAATAAGATAATTTTAAATTTACTGCATCATAGAGGAAAGGAAGATGGAAGCAGCAGCGTAGGTTTTAACAGCACAGGAAGAGGGAAGTCCCAAAATGGTTCGCACTCGGTATTTATAGTAGCGATTATGTAATAGGCTAGAATATTCTTGAAGGTACTGGTCTAAGGGAAAGACCCTAAATTGCTGCGTGTTCACGTAGAACAAAGTCATCGTATTTTTTTATATTTTACACACATATATATATGTACAATTTTTTACTAATTAGTAGTGTTAGCTAAGTCTTTTATCAACTGTTCAATTACTACAATGGTGAATGGATGCTTTTTCCACATTAAAGAACTTGGTTTTGAATTTCTGGCAAAATATTGATATTTCTGACTATAGTATCTATTCAGAATTGGATACAGAAAATCTTGCTGGTTTGACAATTATCATCTCATTGGTATGGAAATAAGGTTATGAAGCTCTTGAAAAGGGATATTCTCAATCAAGAATGAGGATCTAGATTAGGAAAAGTCATATTGTCACTGCTGGAATCCAATGTCATAAAAAATATACTTCCTAACCTCATTAGTATGGTTAAACTCAATATTATTACTTGTGTTTATTTGTAGGCCTTTCCATTCAAGAACACAAATAACAACAAAAGCTTTTTTTCAATTTTCTCTTAAAACTTTTCATGTTTACGTGCAAGTATGACTCGGCAATATCTCTAGATTCAGTCTGTTTTCTTTTTATTAAAGAGAATAATAGTAAATTTTATTTTGATTGCTTTGTAAATATTTTTGATTGCTGACTTAATTTTCCCGAAAAACAAATTTTTAATTGAATTTCAGATCAAGAGAACAGACTGGAGTATCTAGTATGAATGTTCATCCTACACAGTCTCATATTCTAGCAACTGGTCATGAAGATGGTTCTCTATGCATCTGGGATATGCGGCAAGAAAAACGGCCTATGTCATTATTGGAAGGTCATTCAGCAGCTATAACAGATCTCCTATTCCATCCAGTGAATCCTGATTTCCTGTACACATGCTCATTAGATGGAACTGTATGGCAGTGGGATTCCTCACAGTTAAGAAGTAGTACTTCAGGATTTACTCCCTCTTTAGGTAATTTAAATTTTGCAATTACAAATGCAATTTTACTGTTATCTTAATTTCACTTAAATATATATATATATTTCTCTTAAAAATGTGATCTTAAATTTTTTGTGGGTATTTCTATTTTTGAAAAGGATTTAAGCAATTTTCAGCATTAGTTAGTTCCATAAATAAAATACTACCACTAGAATCCGCTAGTGTGCTAAACTGAAAGAGGATAGTCAGGTTTTCAGTTTCACTTTTCACTTTGTATTTTTGAAAAAAGGTTTAGGCAATTTTCAGCATTAGTTAGTTCTACAAATAAAATACTACCATTAGAATCTGCTAGTATGCTAAACTGAAAGAGGATAGTCAGGTTTTCCCTTTCAGCTTTGCAGTAAAGTGGCCTGAATATAGTAATATCATATAAAATGTTTATTAAAAGACACTATGATGATGAAGAGGACTACACAATAACAGTAACAGATACAATGCATTGAAAAATATATTAACTAGAAGTGGTTACATTGAGCTAAAGGTCATGATAAATGTCATGAATAAAATAAAGAAATGATAGTTATTAATAAGTGTGATTGTCTTAAAAATGAATAATATCTTGCAAAAGCATATTCATAATTTGAATGTTGTTCTTGCAAAAGCATTTCCTTTTCATCTGAAACTGCTATTTTTAATTACTGAACAGTTTTCATTAGGTGTGTACATGCTGCAAGTTGTCTGCTCAGAACAGCCCAGATTAGATGAAGGATATGAGAAAGCCAAAACATTTGAATAATAGGCTTTCTTTCAATGGTTGCAATGTAGTTGGATTTCTCATAAAAATAAAAATGTAAGGCTAAGGAAATACCAGAATCAATGCTTATGTGACAAGATTATGTTATGAAAATAGTATGCAATGAACACAGTACTAAGTTTAAGTATTTGTAGCTCTGTACATCTGTTGAGCCCTCTAAAAAAGAATCCACCAGTGATCGAATGCTAAAAGTTGCTGAAGATTGGTAATTCAACCCAAGATTAAATTTTAGTTAACATGGGTATTTTCGTAGTTTTCTCCATGTGTATCTGCCAACTTTCCTTAAAGAGTTCTCTACAAAGTCATCTCTCACCCTAGGCAAATAACCCTCATGTGCTTTGCCATAACCAAATAATAAACGAAATCAACCTTAGAATGAGAATACCTCAACCTGTCAATATTGATATTATTTAAAATGTTTGTGGGTGATACATGCCAACAAATTAGTTGACATTCAGAACGATTGACTTTCATCTGTAAATGTACTTTGTGCAGTTGTACATTTTCTGTATCATTGTTAAATGCTGATACAGTGGCTAGGTATCAAAGGGTTACAATATATTTTCTACAGGTCAAAAAGGTTTGCTTTTATTGAGACTGTGTTCAGTAAGCCACTATCTACTGTCCCATGCTCCTGTGCAGATTATTTGCAGTGGTTTCCACTGTTTGAGTTTGTCTTCACTTATAAGTCTGCAGAGTGGTCATGGTTGAAAGTTTTTATCAGAGTATCACCAGCAGTCTTTCGAACACCTGCGTCACTTTGAAAGCCATCTGCACCCATGACATGATGCTAGGGAGCAGTATTAAATTTCATAGCTAAACTTCTTGTTTCATTATTCTGCATCAAGTGAAGTCATCAAAATGTTTCTTAAGGGCCATTTTGTGACCTGTACAGAAGGAAACATGCTGAAAATCTGTTAAAATTGTACTCATTGTTGGAAATTGGAAGATAAACCAGCTTGCTGCTGAGATATATAATTATGAAAATTGCTATATGCTGTTTTGTTTAATTTTAAATTGTAACTTTAAAGAGTAATAATTTTACTTAAATTTTGCATGCTGGTATAGATATGTAGCATGAATATTTATTATAGATTTATTGCAATGTGTTGTCACAGAAATCAGCAAATAAAAAAGGAATTTTTAAATTCCTGTGCTCATTAAATAGGAAATATTTAGATTTGAAAATTTAATAAAACAAATGCTTTTGTAACTTAATTATTTTAAAATTAATTTGTCTTTTATATTTTTTCATGATAGATTCCTCCTCCCTTTTTACTATTTTGCTGTTACAAAGTTGGCAGGAATCGTTTTTCTTTTAGATTTCAGACCTTGCAATTCAGAAGTTTAGAAGGACTTGAAGGCAAGATAGACTTACAATTCAAAAAAAAAAAAAAGCGGCGAAATGAAAAATTTTTTCTTGGTATTAACATGTATTGGATGTGTTTTATAGGAAATTTGTGATGAATTTCTTATCTTTAGAAGAATTTTTAAAAGAACAGTGAAAATAAAATTATCTGAAATTTTCTCCTTTTGATCCCAGAAATCTTTTTATTTACATGTTTATCTCCCCTTTATTTTCTTATCTTTCAACTGAACAAACATTAAAGCAAGCAAAGAAATTGACAATTAAAAAAAAAAAACTAATTCATCTTATATTTCTATATGCACCATAGACACTTCGGTGCTTGCCCTAGATTCTGAACTTTTGCTATTCCTAAATTTTACTGCTCGGTGCTTGATCTAATTCTACAAATTCTGGCACCATCTGTGACCTTATTTCATATTTATTCACAATACTCATATTATTAAAGAAATAAAATTAACAGTTTCTTCTACACATTCTAAGTAAAAATTTTTTAGAACAGCAAAAATCTTTAATTAAATCTGAAAATTCTAAAATGAAGAGGGAACTCATTGAAGAAGAAATTGATTTGATAAAAGAGAGAAAATTGGTCTTTATAAATACCTAAAATATCTGGAAAATTTTCAAATTAAAAAGATGCATAAATATTTTGTTAGTTGTTGCAAATTATAAATGTTTTATATCCATTAATGTGTAATTATACCAATATCTGTAGAATCAAAATCATAAATTATAATTGCTGTAAAATGGTCTTAATGCTTTTTTAATGGATATTTTTAGAAATAAAAAATATAATTCTAACCATGTAAAGCTGTTATAACTAAGGATATCTAACATGTAATTTAATTATTTATAAGTAATGGCTGTCACCCTTAGAAGTTATCTCTGCATGTTAAGGTGAGTTACTGTTCCTTAATCCTTATTGTGAATGCAAGATCCAACACAAGACGTTATTTCTTACTGTTAATGAGACTTAATACAACATAACTTTCTCCTCTGATGCTTCAGCTGCTTATTGGAACTTTATTTTAAATACTGTATATTAACTGGGTTAGAACTCCATGAAGCTATGACCCTAACTGGGTCAGACAAAGCGCAACTAACTTTCAACACTTGCCAGTCATACCAAAGTCAGGTATTTACATCTGTTTTGACCAATGGCTCTAAATAAGCAATCATGGTGGCAGCAGCCAAGCTTCTGTTATGAGTCATGCTGATTATTATTTTGATTCTCATGCATAAACCTTTGGACTGAGCGAATACATGACGAAATGAGGCATAATAGAAAGAATCAATAAGTTAGTAAAATTCAAATAAAGTAAGTAATCTTCTTTAAAATATATGGGACTATTGTAAATGTAAAATATAAATGTTGCTTGAAATTTTATAATTTAATGCTAATTTCCTGAAAAAATTTATTAAGTTGATTTTATTCTTGAATTTGTTTTATAATTAAGTTAAATATTAGATTATGTTCGATAATAATGCATCCTACTTACAGATTTTATTTTATTCTTAGAAATCACAAAAGTGAAGTTAGGATGTAGATAAAAATCTTTAAAAGTACTTAATTTCCATGCACAGAAATGTGTATGAACCCTGATTCAATCTAAATGGAATACAAATATTCCTTCACATATATACGGATACGAATATTCCTTTTTTAACAAAATTACATTTTAGTCATGTTTTCAGAATTGCTTATGATAAAGTTACTATTCTTATTAATCTAAACAAAATATTGTTGTCTTTTGTAGTCTCTAGACCATCCTGGATGATATTTTGGTTAGTAAAGCCTAATTAGTTAGTAAAGTCTTGGATATAAATTCCAGATGAGACATAGATCTTGGTAGCTTTAGTGCTTTTTTATCATGTCTTTCGCAACCTTTTTTGCATCACGGCATACTTGACAAACATAATTTGATAACATACTGCAGAAGAGCATTTTTTCGCTAATTTGATTACTTTCTTGTATTTCATATTAGGAATTTATTTAATAAGATCTTTCTTTTAAATATTTTTGCATTGTAATACATAAACATTCCAGCCTGACATTTGTTCTTATGCAGTCATAACACATCACTCAATAAGTCTCCAGTCTGGTGCATATATGGCAATACTGTTGACAGACACGTATGATTTCTGGATAGTAGCATCCTTCAAACAATACATGTCAAAATTCCATGATATTCTGTTAATTAGCTTATGGGTTACAGTGGTTTTAGTGAACCTAGTTTTGTAATTTATTAAACAATGGATAAAAAAATTTGTGCATTGATTAAACATTGTTTTTTGATGGGGGAAAATACTGAAGCCAAACAATAGCTTGATAAGTGTTTTGAAGACTGTAGCAGGGAAATCAACTGCTGACTGGCATGCTGAATTTAAATGCGGTCATACAAATACCAATGATGCTGAACGCTCTGGTTGCCCAAAATTGGCAGTTATTCCAGAAAACATAAAAGTCTACAAAATACCTTCGAAACACTGTAAAGTGAAATTGCATGAGATAGCTGACACCGTGAAGATATTGGAAAGTAGTGTGTTTACAATTTTACACAAAAATTTGAACATGCTTTTGAAGTGGGTGCTGCATTTGCTCACACCGGACCAAAAACAACACATCAAGAGCAAGCACTGTTTGGAGCTGTTCAAGCATGATAAAAAGGTTTTGTGTCATATGTGACAATAAATGAAACATGCATTCATAACTACACACCTAAATCAAAAGGATGATCAGATGAGTGGATAGCATTTCCTGAAATTCATCCAAAGTGATTAAAAACTTAAAAATCAGCTATGGCATCCATAGTTTGGGATGCGCATGATATTTTGTTCATTGACTATTTGACA